TCCATCCTCTAAAGAGAATAACAAGTATGCAGTATCACTGGGATATATTGGTGGTTTTAAAGTTTGTGATCTTAATTTGACCCTGACATATCCTGTGTTGTTTTGCTTGTTTGTTTGTTTTTGTGCAGGGTCTCACTACGCAGCTTGGACTCGTAGTGATCCTCCTGATTTCTGCCTCCCTAGTGCTGGGATTACAGGCACCACCACACCCAGACCCCACTGGCTCAGCGCACCCAGGGGTGGGGCCAGTGCAGCATCATGCAGTGCCAGGGATTGAGTCCTGGCCCCTGGGCTTACCTAAGCAAGCACTTAGTCTGCTGAGCTACCTCGCCAGCCCTATGTATCCTGGTTTTTATCCATCTTGTTTGTAAGGAAGAGCAAGCACCAGCGAAACCAGAATCAGAGTAAGGACTGCACTTTGTACTCACAGAGTTTTCTTTTCCTGTGTGAAGCTGTCACCTGCAGGACTTACACTGGCCCCTGCTTTTTGTGGGGACAAATGACTTCTACCTCTTAACTACATCTTTCTCTTAGTTAACCACAGGAGAAGGGGATAATAAAAAACAAGAAGTCCCCCAATTTTAGCTTGATCAACCAAAGTGAGCGAGCGGGCAAGAGGTATGACTGAGCCATGGAAGGCAGAACTGGAAGATGACACGTGCCCCTCTCACACATGGCCGTTGTGCCGCTAGTTGTCTGTTATCCTTCTTTCTGAAGTCCTGTGACTGAATGTTGTTGTCACTTCCCCTGGGAGGAATTCAGATCAATTAGCCTCTTTAGCCTCAATGGCCATCAATATAGGGACTCGGCTTTCAAATTCTGGAATCTCTTTGTTACTCCCATAAGGCCTTATAGCCTACCCGTACACAGGTTTCAGTGATTTTACCTTCCAAGGTAAAGTTGTAGAACTCCACAATGATATGCGGAAAAGTTGTGTAGGCAGGGTGCCCACATAAACCTGGGGCAGGGCTAAGGGGCCAGCATAATGCTTAGTCCCCAGAAGCCACCTTGACCACCAACAGCCTGTCTCCAGGACCATCCTACCTGCAGCTCCATCTTCACATGTTTTTTCTTTCTTTTTCTTTTTTTTTTTAATCTCGCCCCCCC